TGGCAGATTCAGATTCAGTATCCAGCCACTTCCTGGATCATAGGAGCAGAGACAGTACACTCTGGAATCTTTTTTTAAGGGTACTAGCCCATTCAGGAGGGCTCTGCCCTCATGACCGATCACTTACTTAGGGCCCCATCTCCTAATAACACATTCGGGATTAGGATTTCAACCTGTGAAATTTGGGGGAGACACAAATATTCAGGCCATTAACACTCCATTTTTCTGCCTCTTGATAACAATGACAGTTGTGAAAACAGTGTTCTAAGGAATGTCTATAGTGTGCAATAGTTTTGGGAACAAATGGTTAGCAATAATACATTTCTGGTTGGAACCATTTCCATTGACTGTGAAATCTCTGAGGTTCTAGGGGTGCCTGGGTAGCTCAGTTGGTTAAGCATCCAACTTCGGCTCAGGTCATGATCTCACAGTTCATGAGTTCGAGTCCCACATCAGGCTATGTGTTGACAGCTCAGAGCCTGGAACCTGCTTCAGATTCTGTGTCTCTCTCTCTCTCCTCCCCTGCTCACATTCTCTCTCTATCAAAAAATGAATAAACATTAAAAAAATTAAAAATAAAACAAATCTCTGAGGTTCTAAGTATTAATAGGAGATCATTGTAAGCAACTATAGTTCTCATTTGTAGAGCTGTCTCCCATCCTTATCTCTGGCACATTCTCCAGAATGTAAAGAAATATTGCAGAAGATTTCCCCAGACTGGGGTCTTGAAAACTCACTAATATTATGTTTTAATTATTAACGAATACTGATTTAGTAAGTGTTAGTTCCTGTCAAGGTTTTGCTAAATCGATCCAAAAGGGTGATGGTCTGTGCATCTAAAGAGAAGAAAAAAATGACCCTCTGGCCTGTTAATGAATGATATTAATGGTAGACAATACTTTTGTGTCATACACTGCTGAAACTTCTAAATGTATGTCATTGATTCCTTGTGATACTTCTAGAAGATAAATACTTTTATTTTCATTTTACAGATGAAGAACATCCCTGGCTTGCTCAGCCAGTAGTTGGCAGGGCTAGTACTTACACTAGAATCTGCCTGTCTTCTGTACTACTGTGTTTCAATGCCTCCAGAGCTTATGGAGAACACAACCTCCACACTTTGTTTGTTTGTTTAGGTTCTTGGCCTCTGTTTCTTTGGATTTCTTCCATCTTTTTCTTCTAAGAGAATGATTCATTGAAAAATACATTAAGAATTTGGTGTGGTAAAATACTAACTCACCTCTTAGTTTCTTAAGAAAAGACTATAAGAAGGTAAATGACTTGTACAAAATGCATTAAATAAATCAGATAATACTGGGGACTAATATTAGTGAAACTCCTTACTGCTTTTCTATTTAACTTTAAAACTATTTACAAACCCTTAGGCTCTAAGCTTTATGTATACATGGCAACTGGGCTGTGTGTGTGTGTGTGTGTGTGTTTGTCTCTTGGCATGTGAGGAAACTTCCAATTCCTGGTGCACGATTATGAGCAATCCAGTAATCTCAAACACTTATAGGAAGGAGAAGGGTCATTTTTCTTTTTCCATTCTGCACCTTTTCTTTTTGCTTATTCATCATGCTTTAAACAAACAGACCAAAGAAAGTTGTTACTAAAGCCCTCCTTGGGCTTCTTCAATTTCAGTTTTAAACCAGGTTCAAAATATTCTGGCAAAAATTAAAGGCAACATTGAAAACGTTTGCATAAATTTTGAATTGTGGAAAAAGTGATAAAACTAAAATGAGCTGAAAGAATGAGTAATAAGCATCTCTTCATATCTTTGTCTTTTTATCATAATCACTGATGATTTGGGTTTTTAAAAATTGATTCTGAAGTGCATTCCTTTTCCAGAGTATCTGCATTACACTTACTCTTCTAAATTTAATTTGTTAGAAGTTTAATGTTTACTTTTAAAAGTGTGAAGGCTTATTAGCATGCTAATAAATAACATTTAATGTCTATTAACAGTACTTCTATATTTGCTCATAAAATGGAATAGAAAAATATTACCTACAAGAGATTCCATGCCTTTACTACATTCTGGGTGTAATTGAAATCCCTAGTTCTCATTTCACTGTTAGAAAAGAACTAATAAATTTGTCACCAGTAAAACAGGGGTGGGGGAGCAGAGGCCATTTATGAGCTCTGTAATGAATCTAACTCCTGCAGCCTAGACCTGAAAGAATTGGGAGACCAGCACAATAGAGGTGCCATTTAGCTGTACAGCATCACAGCTAATCAAGTTTAGATCTTTGCTTTTCTTTACCCTTTTTTCTGATAGTTCCCCAGTGGTATTGGCTGTGTGTCTTCAAATGGCCTAATATCACACCTAGAAATAGAAGCAGTTGCAACTCACTTAAGAAACGCATATGGCAAAAATACAATCCCTTTTGAGGATATGGTAAATAACTGTAAGAATGTGTGAAAATAATGGTTTTTATTTGAACATTAAATTTTATTGTGATATAGTATGTGTTTTGTTACACTGTCACCTGACATCTATTAAAATTAGGGTTCTGGAATGCTGTTCTGGCCTGTGTAATTTTGAGAAAGAGGCTCTAGAACACTCCTCCAGTATGAAACCTAACCTCTGCCACACACAAAATATAGTTCTCATGGTAATAAAAAAAGGTATCATCTTTATAGACATATATATGTAAATATACACATATATGTATTTCTTAATGTGCAGTCTCAGCTCAACCACAATGTGGAATTCACTACATTTAATGTCTTTGAGTCTACTTCTCTGACTTTCAAAATGAATGAAATTAATAATGTTGACCTATTGAGAGTTTTGGGGAATGTCAAATGAAAAATACTGTCAGCACATAATAAGCTTGTAATAAATAGTGTTGAGTTTTATGATACTGCTAATTTAAAAGGATATTTTAATATCCAGTGTCCCTGTCACTCCTGAAATTAAACAAACCCAGGACCTTTGCATTTGCTACTTCCTCTCTCTGTAATGCTTTCCCTTAGCTCTTTCAGTGATGGCTCATTGTCATCCTTTGAGTTTCAGCTCAAATGTCACCTCTTCATGGACATTTAACCTGGCCAAACTGTCTAAAGTAAATCTCTGCCCTCACTCTCCATCATGGTGTTTGAGTATCCTCTTTATTTATCTCTTAGTCTACTCCTTTCGAATATAAACTCAATGAAGGCAGAGAGACCTTATCTCCCTTGTTGATAACTGTGCACCCAATGTCCAACAAAGTATCTGCCTCAATAAGTGTGAATGAATGGATGAATTAATTAAATGAATAAATGAGTGAAAAGGAGGGAAGGAGGGAAGAACAAAGGAAAGACATTGGAAGGAATGAATAAAAATGATGGATAAAAGGAATAAAGGACAAAAAAAAGAAACTTTCATGGCCTGAGGAATGATTTATATTCTGGATATATGTATTTATGCATATACAACTTTTAAACGTTATTTTTTTAATGTTTATTTCTTTTTGAGAGAGAGCACAAGCAGTGAGGGAGGAAGGAGAGAGGGGGACAGAGGATCCAAAGTGGGCTCTGTGCTAACAGCAGAGAGCCTGATGTGGGGCTGGAACTCACGAACCATGAGATCATGATCTAAGCCATAGGTGGACTCTTAACTGACTGGCGCCCAGGCACCTGTAAATGTTATTTTAAAGTTTAGGGGCACCTGGGTGGCTCAGTCGGTTAAGCGTCCGACTTCAGCTCAGGTCATGATCTCGCGGTCTGTGAGTTCAAGCCCCGCGTCAGGCTCTGTGCTGACCGCTCAGAGCCTGGAGCCTGTTTCAGATTCTGTGTCTCCCTCTCTCTGACCCTCCCCCATTCATGCTCTGTCTCTCTCTGTCTCAAAAATAAATAAACGCTAAAAAAATTTAAAAAAAATAAATAAAGTTTAAAATTTGGGTAAAATTTTTCTGATTCCTGTTGTCTTTCGTTTCTTGTCCCTGGTCAATGTGTTTCACCTTATCTTCTCCTTCCAGAAGCTTACAGGGGTTGTTTTGCTATAGGGTGACCTCCTTCTGTGAGACAGTAAGTAATTTTTATGGGATACTGACACCTTAGAACAGAGGGTTGCCAAACTTTTTGTGAAGGGCCAGATTCTAAATATTTTCAATTTTACAAGCTATGTGCTGTCTCCCAACGACTCACCTCTGCCACTATAGAAAGAAAGCAACCATAGACAATATGTAAAGAACTGAATGGACTGTGTTCCAATAAAAATAATTTAGGGAAACTGAAATTTGAATTCCATGTAATTTTCACATGTCATAAAATATTATTCTTACTTTGATTTTTCTTCAGCCAAATAAAAGCGTAAAAGCCATTTTTAGCTCACGGACCTATAAAAACAAGCAGCAGGTTAGAACGGCCTTAGAATGAACTAGTTTAATGGTTTTCTCTCCCAAGACTGTTGCCTTTTAAAAGATGAACTAGATTGGGGGAGGCAAAGAATAAATTTCTATTGGTAGAATTTCTAATAATTTTGCAAATGGGAGAAAAGCATAATTTTGAGTGATCAGACCTTCCTGAACTCCGAAAATCACACTGTATCAGTGGTCCATTGTCAACAAGTAAGTTGTAAGTGTTAAAAGTAGCTTTCATTACTGACTAAAGTTGCCCAGGTGTGCCTGCTAGCAAACTCCCACCTTATTTATTCCTTCCCATTGTAGACTTTGGAGTTTAGGATTAGTTACATCTAACGATGTTTGATGTGAAAGCAAGACAGTCTGAGGATACTTGAGCTCTATAATCCTGAAGAATAAACTGTTTTCAACTTCAAGTAATGATTTCCCTAAAATTTGTGCATGTAAGTTGAGTAAGGAATTATTTGGGAAAACATTTTAAGAGCACAGTGTGACATAATTTTATAAATGCAGAAATTAAAAATTCATTAAAAATTATTATAGTCGTATTAGTGTTATCTTTATAGCTATGACTATTGATAGTGCTTTCGAATGTTTTAAGACAATAGAGCTTTCCAACTTTTTTTCTTTACTCACATCTCTCTCAAACAGCCAAAGCAACTGTTTAAAATTCCATCTTGGGAAGATGCTAGTCAGACTGCAATGAAAAATCAGAATGAAGCTCAATTTGAAGAAAAAGCAGTTAAGTATTTCATAGGTAGGAATGTTTAGGATATTTGGAACTGAATAGTCAAAATACGTCTGCTTTATTTTAGGACATGCAGGTTAAGTCAGCCTTCAGGTATGCATCTCAGAAGTGTAACTAGAAACTAAGTTGTTGGGGTTTTCCTCGGTTTTCTTGGATACTAAGAACAGTGCACCATTGATGGTCAGAGTACAGATAATCTGAGGCTAATTTTAAATCCTTTAACTACCTTTCCCTTCCTACCTGTGCTTGTATATCAGGAAATGGAGATTAATAATAGTTTTGATCTTAGTCAAATGGAATAGGAAGCAAGGAAAACCTTACTCGTGTCAGCCAAATACATTATTTTGAAACCATCTGCTTATGTCTGATTATCTTTATCAGCACCCTCTCTCTTTAGTATAGAACAGTGAGAGGTAACTGTACAGAAGCCCACGGAAGGAGTATGGGAATGAGGGTGAGACAGCCATAGGTTCCTGGTGCTTTAATTCCTGAAACACTTGAATAAATGACTGCATGTAAATTGAGATTAGGATTATTGGAATTGCTCAAAGGTAAGCAATTTAATTCCGAAGGTGGACTGTTTGCTTGTACCATTTCATGGCTCAGTTTGTGACCTGAGTGATAGTCAACCATCGAGTGCTAGGGTTGAAATATTCAGGAAGAAGGAGCTTGGGACAGTGGGTTCCATGTGGGTTTCTTTGTGAATATTCTTCACCTGGAATCCCAGAGGATGTGTGCCCTTGAGGGAATCAAAGGAGATGGCAGCCTCAGGGAGTCTCATTAGGCCAGCTATGTTTGGTGACAGTCAAATACACACTCTGAAAGAAAAAGCATACCTTACTGTTTCCCACAAATTCTTCCTGACACAAACCTACTCATAAATTATGCCATAATCACTACTGCAGTATGATTTGCATAAGAGTTCAGAGCATATTCAGCTGATATATGACTAACCTCGCCACTGGAGACATGTACTTTACTTTTTTAAATGTAAATCTTTGGGGGGGAAATACAGTGTGTTGGTTTCTGGGTTGCTGGTTTTCTCCCTCTACTACTCAACTTCTGTGTGTGCATCTCTTTTGAGGGGACAGTCTTTGAAATTACATTGGTTGTCATTTACATTGCCCCTAGCCACCATCATAGCCTTTATATTATCTGCAAATAATTTTTAGTTGTTCCCCAGTCCAGATGTCATTCACTGAACTCTTGTTACCCATTATCAGCAGACTCACCGTGGAATTGCACAGTTCTGGGAGAAAGACAGTTCTGTGTCTTCTGCCCTCTATTTGGTTTGTAGTCTTAACCTCTAGCCACCTGTGAACCACATTGTACGTTAAAGAGGAATCTTAATTCGATTCTTCATTTTAAAGGGAAAAAAAAAAGGAAACCTCATTGCTTTGTTCTGCGATCTGAAACACAAAGGGTAAATCTGAGAGGTTTTGGTGTTAGTGTTACACAACCGACTGGAAGTGTTTACAGGGATTTCAAGCAAAACCCTACTTCGCCTCTCAGGCTGCATTTTCCAGTGTGAAATCTGTCAAAATAAATCACCACAGCTCCATTTTCCATATCTTCCTCTTCCCCACCACACAGACACATGCACACATCCCACTTTGGTGTAGGCGCAATCTCCAACTTCTCTGAACAAGGTCAAACAGTGATACAAACAGTGCCAAAGTATAAGGGTCAGTGATCACCTCTCAAGATCGCAAACCAAAAATGCAACCAGAGTGTTGCCCAGGAAACCTACAGAACAGCTGGCTGCCTCCCATCTCTATCATTGGTAGTAGATGAGAGAATAGATCAGAGATGTGGAGCACATATTTTGACTCTGTTCGTAAATCCTGTTTCTGATTCTATCAGGGACTTGTCACACCCCTAGTGAAAAGCAGGTAATGAGGAAAGTTACTGGGTACTCCCTCTAGGTTAGGAAATGACACATACCTTTAAACCGGCTTTTCTGGATAAGTCAACATGTTGAAGGGCGTACTTACAGCTTTTTAGACAAAATGTTGATACCTTGCTGCGTTTTTCTTTTCAGCGTTTCCGTTTTGTTAGTTTGGATCCTGTAGTAGATTATTTGAAAACGGCACATAAGCAGCTAGAGAAATGAATTAACAAAGATAGACTACATGTGGGGCACCTGGGTGGCTCAGTCAGTTAGGTGTCCAACTTCGGCCCAGGTCGTGACCCTGCGCTTTGTGGGTTTGAGCCCGGTGTCAGGCTCTGTGCTGACAGCTCAGAGCCTGGAACCTGCTTCGGATTCTGTGTCTCCCTCTTTCTCTGCCCCTCCCCTGCTTGCACTCTATCTCTCTGTCTCCCAAAAATAAATAAATATTTAAAAAAAATTTTTAAGATAGACTACACATATCTAAAAGATGGGTACAACGAACTCTGGATGATCAGGAAACCACTGCAAGCTGCTCTAATGCCACTTATTCTAAAAGTTTTTCTTAAGTGTCCAGTAATTTTATCTGACTTTTAAGTAACATGCAACTTTATGTATAGATCATTGTTTCCTTTGATGTATTCAAGGTCAAATTATGCTATATTTTGAAGCTTTTTTTGGTGTGGCAACATTAAGGTTGTTTGCGGTTTTTAGCTCTTTATTTTGTTTCAATTTATTTTAAATCACTATGTGAAACACCTTTTTTTTTTTTTTTTTTTTTTTTTTTTTTTTAGTTAATTTATTTTGAAAGAGAGAGAGCATGAGTGGGGAGGGGCAGAGAGAGAGAGGAGAGAGAATCCCAAGCAGGCTCTGCACTGTCAGCATGGAGCCCACTGAGCCTAAATCAAGAGTCAGACATTTAACTTGACTGAGCCATCCAGGCAACCCGAAACACTCATTTTATTGCCATATGGAAATTCATAGAGAAAAACGCACATATTTGTGTTTCATTTTATATCATATAAGAAGTAGTAGGTAAAGTGTGAGTATTAATTAAATAGAGTTAACAATATAAATAAGCAAATAAATAAATAAAGTTAGCATTGACAGGAAAAATGCCACACAGTGGTCTCTCTGGGTGAAGCCAAGTGTATTTTTCTTTCGGAAGAGAGGCTTTTTGGATTTAGAACAGTAATGGAGGGAGTCCCCATTGTGGATCTTTGCTTGCTTTTTGAAAATTATTCATCCATCAGTCCTCGGGAAGTTTCCAGAATTATTCTATACTGTTAAAGATCCTTAGACTTGGAAGAGTGAGAGACTCTTGTTTTATTCTTATACCATTATTCTTATACCAATATACCATTGGTTTTCATATGCAAATGGATATATGTAAAGCGTTCTTGGAAAATGCCGCATTATTGTGATAAAATAAAGTCACTAGGCCTGTTCAGTTACACTTAACAGAGGCAAAACTCAGATTGTTTAGACCTAGAAGGCCTCTACATCTCTTAGATGCGAGATAGACGAATCCATGTGTCTACTTGATTGGCTTGGATGAATCAAATAAACTGTTAATGACCAGGGATTCAGATACCAATGATCCATATAGCACTCATTTCCTAATTTAACCTACAAATATTTTCTCATCTCCGATGATGCTAATGAACTAACTGCCTTGGTTCAGTTATAAATTCCAGTGTACAACCAACCCATGGTAACCAAGTAGCAAAGGAATATATACAGCTCAAGGCAGGTTAACTGACCTCAGCATAAAAAGTTAAGTTATGTGTTTTTATAGTACATATGCCTCTCCCTTCTTGACATGTCAAGCCGGAATGAATTATAGTGTATTGTCTAACAGCATTATTGATACTCAGACATTTTATGAAATATTCACTTTGTTAAGAATGGCTACCACTTCACAGTGGAGCTAAATGACTATGCAGTGACTACATACATAATCTTTCAGAGTAAACATTAAATGTTGCCATATCAGGTGTTTCTTAGACTTTCCCCCTCCTTAGGTAGAATGAAAAGAATAGTGGAAAGGAGATTATCCGGTCACAAAAAATTTATATCAACAAAACAGGTTTTCTTCCCCCAAGCACTTTTTCTTCAAAATATTGAAGGAATTTTTTCCTTTGTTTTTTGTTTAACCTTCCACTCCCAATTGTTTCTTTCCTTGTTACTAGTGTTATTTTTTCAGAAATACTTCACACATGAGAAATGAACAGATTCGATTTAATAGAATAATTTATTTATACAATATTCTTACATCTTATTTCAAGTGTTGTTTGGAGTAAAAGGACTTGAAGGCCCATCGGTGGGACCCTAAGAGTCTGCGATTCTCCTAAAAGTGCATGCAGAATTATGTGTATGTTGTGGATAATGTACATTTTCCTGGGGAGAAGACCAAATTTCCTCAGACCCAAAGTTCCTGACTACAAAAATAAGAACCACTGATGTATCGAAACCACCTGAAACAGCATGACTGTAGTGAGAGTATCTTCACTATTTCTGGAGGCTGTTTTCTCTCTCGGCCCCTCCCACCTTCTAACCCTCCTTTCAATGCGCCAGTACTTTTCTTTTCAGGATCCAAGTGTGGAAGTGTGTGTTCATGCTGGGGGAGGGGGGCAAATGTTGAGCCTTCAGGTTGGACTTGAAGGTAAACTGGGTTGAAATGAAAACTGGAGATTATACAACAAGAACAAAACACTGTGGCTGCCCTTCTGGTGAGAGTGGGAGAGGTTAAGACCAATATAATTTATTGTGGTGTAGTTATATGTCCATTCTAGGACATATACTGGCATTTGTTTCCTGGGCTGTGTCAATGCCACAGCGCTGGCTGAAGTTACCTCTGTTTTGCTAAGAACATGAGAGGAAGTATGAAAATATTTTGTTAGAGAATAAATACTTGCAGTAGCCTAATTTTTTTTACATACAGAATTATAATAACTAACCTTATCTGCCAAAAAAGAAGTCAAACATTTAAATTTTCAGAAAGCATTTCTTAAATTTTCAAAGCAAGTTAGTAAGTTCATAAAGACTAGGAGTAGTTTCTTTTTATTTACTGCCTACAATTAAGACCAAACAACTCTACAATCTAGATGAGTCTCACTAACTGGCTACGATGGCTGGTATGCTATTAGCCACTGTTGATTGGCAAATTGAATTATTTAAATTCAGGTTAATGAACTGAATTGTCTGTTTTCCTAATTTTCTCATTTTGGTAACATATTACATTTTTCATAGAAAGCTGTCTCAATACCAATTTGGAATGAAGTGGGTTATAGATGAAAAGACGTCAGTAAGTTGCACTGAAATAAATCATGTATTCATCTTTATACTTTAACAAAATGGAGTTTTCTTTGACCAATTGTGTTCATAGTCTGAAAGACTAGGCACATATCTTAGCTTGGATTGCTATAATAAATTGCCACAGACTGGGTGGCTTAAACAACAAACGTTTCTCATAGTTCTGGGGATGAGGAGTCCAAGATCAAGGTGCTGGCAGAGTCGGTCCTGGTGAGGCCCCTCTTGCTGGGCCTCTTGTAGATGGCCAACTTTTCTCATTATGCCCTTATGTGGCAGAGAGCAGAAAGAGAAGCAGACTTTCTTGTGTCTCTTCTTATAAGGGCACTGATCCCGTCATGAGGACTCTGTCCTCGTGACCTAATTGCCTGCAAAAGATCACATGTCCAGATGCCATAGCATTGGAGATTGGGGTTTCAATACATGAATTTGTGAAGATATGAACATGCAGTCCACGACAGTGTGTATTTTTTTTAAATCTGGTAATAAATATTCAAGTAAAATGAAGACACCAATATATAAATTATATCAGTCTGTCTTTGCCAAACACTGAGATCTGAATTAGGACAGACAAAATTTAATTCTACTGTTTTGACATCATATGAAATCTCTGATTTCAAACTAGCTGTCTGTGTTCTTTTAAAATGTGCTAATCCTGAAAAACGTGAGCACATAAATGTATGGAGAAAATTTAAGGTCCAAATAGTGGCTTTACTTATTTTTTAAAGGCTTCCAAGATGGTTCATATAAATGTGATCCTGCCCAAAGGCTATTTCTGTCTCTATAAGGTATCTAATGAGGTCTTCTGTTCAATCTGCAAAGGATGATAAAGCATTGCTGAATGGTTTTGTCCCAGATGCACTGTGAATAAGATGCCTGGTACAACAGATCAAAGCCCCCTTGAGGCATTATTATATGCATTTATTATGAAGCATTCAAAAGTGACAGTACACAAGTCACCAACAAAACAGCGGTTATTTCACGAAAATTATGGGGACGAGGGTGAGGTTCTCTCCAGTATGCCAACAAAATGCAATTAAACAGATTATGTTGCTAAGAACAGTCTGCTTTGGGCTGATTTTGCATAATATATTCACTTAACTTGTACCCACATAACCAAATGTTTAACGGGTAGAAACGTTCAACTCAGTTTCCCAATCTGAGGGTTGTGGATCATATTGCAGAAGTCCTCCAAAGGCAAGGCCTCTGTGTGTTAGGTGAGGCTGGGAGTTCGGCAGTGAGCGCCAAGTTCTTGCTGCTCCTAAGTGTCCTGGGTCCACGTGGATCCCTGTAGGGCCACAAGAGACCTGAGCTGAGTGGCTCTCTGTACCAGTTCCCCCCTTTGCCTCTTAGGACAAATGATTCATTTGATTAAACAAAAAAGAAATCCAGATTTCACACATCTCCTCCCACTGCTTAAGATGAGAGAAAAGGAAGAAAAGTGGCCTTGATCTTCCTAAAAAAAAGATAGCTTTCTATTTTCCTGAATCTTCAGACATTCCTCTCACAAATCCAGCATTTTTTTATTTGGTAAAGACTTCCTCCATTTATCTGTCAGCTCTGAAAAGAGCTGAGAAAATGTAGCTGTCAGTTTGAGAATGCAACCGTTTACTTAATCATGTGGCATTTTTTTAACTTTATTTTTTTTTTAGAGAGTCAGAGAGAGTGTGTGCATGCACTAGCAGGAGCATGGAGGAAGGGACACAGAGAGAGGGCGAGAGAGAGAATCCCAAGCAGGCCCTGCGCCCTCAGTGCAGAACCCAATGCGGGGCTCCATTCGAGACTTGAACTCCCAAACCATGAGATCATGACCTGAGCGCAAGTCAGATGTTTAACTGACTGAGCCTCCGAGGCACACCAGTCATTTAGCTGTTTAAGTCATATTGTCATTGACCCTTTTTTAAAACCAAGATTTCTGTAAAACTTCTAAGATACTACAGATAAGGAAGGCCCATCTGGGTTTCAGCATGTGATAGGTCTTTCTCGTTTATTTTTCCTGTATTGTCTCAGTTAACAAATTACTTCTTAATTTTAATTGATGAAGTTATTCTTATGTCTGAACTTTACTTTCCAAATCATACTTTGTGCTGTATACCTGAGGGCTGGTATGTGTGCTATAGTCCTTTTTTTATATCACTACTATTGTCTAGTTGTTTTTATAACCAAACGTGTGTAATATTTATAAATCCTTAAATAAATAATTTTACCATTGTGAAAGTGGTAAAGTATATTCTGTTTAGTAGTTATATCTGAATTTATGATATTTACTGTTAAATTAAGTCTTACAGTCCTAACACTAGGTGAGATAAGAAGTTCAGTGATTCTTTTATGACTGTTTGATTATAGAAATATCATCCTGAGTAGGAATTCTCATTTTTTTAATATTTTTTAAATACATTATTACCAATGGAAGATAAAGAGAAAATGTGACAGTTAAGTCAACTTGAAATGATTTTTAATGCTTTGTTTTTATAATTATATATTATGCTTTATTTGCAGGACCGTGTAAATGCATTAGAAACGGTAAGTTGGGGCATTTTCTTTCTCCTTTTGTCAGAATTACTGTTGTGTCTTGGTGTGGATTTCAGAGCACCCCCTCACCCCACCCAAAGAAGCAATTCCAGAAAGCACTTCTAAAACTACATCTAGGATTGAAAGGGGAGAGACTAAGCTAAACTATACCTGAAAGGTAGGTGGATACACACCTTTAAAATGAAAATAATAGTAAAAAAACCATCAAGAATGATGATACCAAGATGTCCTAAATTATGGAAAACATAATTAGTTTAAATGTAATCAATATCCTATCTGTTTGTTTCTGTATTTCCCAGTCACTAAAAGGATTGGTTGAAAAGAAGTGGAGATTGGGATCCTGCTTATACTTTGAGGTCCACATAGTGAACCTCAGTATTTTTTGTTTTTAATTTTTTAATGTTATTTATTTTTGAGAGAGAGAGAGAGAGAGAGAGAGAGAGAGAGATGGAGTGTGAGCTGGGGAGGGACAGAGAGAGAGGGAGACACAGAATGAGAAGCAGGCTCCAGGCTCTGAGCTGTCAGCACAGAGCCCGATGTGGGGCTCAAACCCACAAACCGTGAGATCATGACCTGAGCCAAAGTCGGATGCTTAACCAACTGAGCCACCCAGGCGCCCCAACCTCAGTATTTTTGTCCATTGTTTTTACCACTACCCAAATAATGTTAAAAGCTGGTCAGCCTTTTTCTCAATACTCTTACTTGCAGGAATCTAGTATTAGGGAATACAGTTCTTGAGGTGCATGAATGTAAGACGACATGCCTGCAATATTTACTGTAAAATGATTTATTTGAAATGATTTTAGAGAAAAATGGACAACCTCTTGTTTGACAATACAGTAATGAATGGTTAAAGTGTGGACTTTCCACCCAACATGCCACTATGGTTATGGAAAGGGCTTGTACTAGAAGACAAATTAAAAAATAAAATAAAATTGTGTCTACTTCAATAATAACAAGAAATGATAGGCATATGAATAAAGAGTAGAAGAGATGTAGCAAAACTCATCAGTGACTTGTTAGACATGAGTTAGGACTGTGATTTCATTCCTTTCTCTATATTTTCAAGTTTTATAAAACATAATATTACTTTTATAAATAAACCTTTGTATAATGAAAACCATGTGAATTGAAAGAATGGTAGAATAAATTATGGTACCACCTTATGATGAAAGATTTTCAGCCGTAAAAAGTCATATTTTTAAAAAGTAAATATTGCCATATTATGCTCCCCATAATATGGGAGCAGTATATAAAGCAGTATATATATATATGTGTGTGTGAGGGGGAGTGTGATGCAAATATTGAGTATTTTGTGTTAAAAAAAGACTCAGAAAGCAAGCACACAAAATATTAAGAGTGACTTGGGACTAGTGGTGATTTTTATTTTTTCTTTCTGTGTTTTTAACGAACAGGAAAAAAAAAAGAAGCCTTTCAACAATATGGCCAGTAAAGAATAAAATATTTATTTTGTGAGTGTGAGGTGGAGAGATGCTAATGGGGCACATTTTAGTCCTGTGTAAGCAAGTGATTTTGATTGACAGTGTCCAGACCCTAGTGGGTAAATAATCTATTCCTTAGATTTAACTGGGCCATTTGGAAATTACACTGACCTTCTCAGTTTCAGTATGATGACATTGTAGGTGAATAAAATGTTTAGTGTTCTTCCACATATATTTTACTTACCCTTAGGAAGTGTCTTGCCAACAGGATTTGGCTTGTGAATTAAACACTCTTTTTAAAAATATGAACAAAAATAGAAATTTTGAGTGTGAGGACTTGAGTTCCGCATATAAAATGCCGCTTATACAACATTTAGCAAATCACTTGTTTCTTGATTCCCTCATCTGTAAAAATAAAGATAACAATAATTAAACTTATTTTACCAAGTTGTGAGAATTAAGAGAGAAAATATATGTGAACATGTTTAGGGCCAAACAAATGTTAGGTTATCATTATGTGATTGCTTATTATTTCTTATTTAATCATTTTCATTACACCAATATGCCATGCAAAACTTAAAATCATACAAGCAGAAACCAACACCTATAAATTTTATTAGTATTTGTTAGTCTTTTTAATTTATCAATCTCTTTACTAAAAGTACTATGGAGTATGATCTTAATAAGTACCTATTCTAAGCATTCCTTTAGGAATAAAGGTAAAAATAAAAAGTCATCATGAGAAAAATAAAATCAATTAAATGGACAAGGTTTTTTACAGTGGCAGTTTTCTCAAGATGGTTTTAATTTGAAATAATTATCATAAGTAAAGCCATAAAAATGAAAATGCTCAGTAATAATGTTAATGCTCAAATATTATGAAGTCCTTTGACTTCATATGGCATTATAAGCAGCAGATTTAATACACTTGGTAGACTATTCAACTGGTAAAGTGTTTTATAGTTCATAAAATCAAATATGCTGAAAGTAATCTCAAGATCATTTATTATTCTCTCACAACTCAGCACTTAAACCGTAGAAAAGAATTGGTGGTCTACATTTGGTTGGGTTGGTATTAATATAAGATGTTGGATGTAGGCTGTATGTTCTGGTAATACAAATATGCAAAAGTTCAAAACTTCATTGTTTCATTAGGAGATTTTAAAGGTTCAGTAGTTATAATAGCTGAAAATGAGATGGTCTTTTCATCATAATGAGCAACTTGAGTTGACTTGTCCCCAGTGATCTAAATACTTATGTCAGGATCATGTGTCTGTTTTTCCTCCTCTTCCTCAACTTTTCCCTCTCCTTCTTCACTAGCATGTAAGCTTCTTGGGTTAGAAATTACTTTTTACTTGCAAATGCAACCCAGGGCCTATCAAACATTCCTGATATATACTGGACAATCAGTAAACATTTGTAGAATGGATGTCAAACTGTACATATGTGACACTCACATAAGGATATGCGGGTTTACACAGAACCAGTCCCAATAGTTGAAGAAAAAAGTTCCCCGGAAGCAAATCAATTTATTATTTTCCCCTAGCCTTTTTGGTTAGGTTTAAACTTTATTTGATGTTTCACAAAAGTTCTTAGGATCTTCATTAAAGTTTAATGTGAATTTTTTAGTAATGAACCAACTCTTAACCAAAATATAACAGGCTAATACCCCAAATAAAGCTAAGTAATTACCTAAAAAACAAATCTTGATGGAGAGCCCCAGTTGATGGGCCATGGATGAGACATAGCAGTGGATATTTATTGGGTACTATATAAGGCACTGTGTTGACAATGGAAGAGAAAGGAAAAACTATAATCAGTTCTCCAAAGGAATTTGTACTTGAATTGAGAAGTTACTTACAAGTAAATAAATTAATGATGTAAGATAAAGATACATTGTCCATACTACATGAAGGAAACACAATGCATTTT